CGGGTGCTGCCAACGAGGCTCTGAATTTTTAAGAGCTCCGGGAAGAAGCTGGCCTTCGTAGGGGCCATGATGGGAGCTCCTAACCACGGGCAGGCAGGGTGGAGGGAAACCGAGCCTCGCTGACCCAGCCAAGCTGATGGAGATAAACCTAGGCCAGTAAAACCAGTGCACTTGGACCTCTGAACAGTGGTCCAAGAATATCTCCTTCTCTGGACATATTCAAGACCCACCTGGACAAGGTCCCCCCGGCTGTAGGGTACCCGGCTTCGGCAGGGGGGTTGGACTAGATGACCCACAGAGGTCCCTGCCAACCCCTACTATTCTGTGATTCTGTGGTCTTTTGCTGATGCTTGATGTGGGCAGGGGCCGAGTCCCGTAGCGTGTTCAGACCTGTGCTGTGCGTTGCAGGGAACAGTCCCTCGTTCCCTTGCTGCCTGTTCTGCCTCACAGTCGGGGCGGCGGGGACGGACACCTCCTCCTGCACGCTCGCTCCTCCCCAGCCGCCTCTGCTCCGACCGCTGGCAGGGACACACAGCACAGAATTGTTTTTCTCACCCCATCCTCCTCCTCCCCGCAGAGAAATGGTCCCTGCCAGGCTGAGGACCAGCAGTTGGCCCCATCTGCCATCAGTCCGACATTTCCTCCTGGGTGGAACCTCGCTCGCTGTCCCCTCAGTGCTGGCCGTTGCTTCCTCCTCCGTGTAACCCCAGGGACACACAGCACAGAATTGTTTTTCTCACCCCATCCTCCTCCTCCCCGCAGAGAAATGGTCCCTGCCAGGCTGAGGACCAGCAGTTGGCCCCATCTGCCATCAGTCCGACATTTCCTCCTGGGTGGAACCTCGCTCGCTGTCCCCTCAGTGCTGGCCGTTGCTTCCTCCTCCGTGTAACCCTGGCTGTAGTAAAGACTTTGCATTGAGCCCTCCCGCCTGGCCTCGCCTCGTGACTCCGTCGCCCGGATTTGGGGGTGCCGGGCGGCAATCCGGCAGCCGAGCCCTGGGGCTGGGTGCGTGAACCCCCAGCGCCGTCTTTTTCCCTGCTCGGGCTCCACGCCGGGGGAAGAAGATTTTTCAAAAAAAACAAAGTCACCTCTCTATGTTGCAAAACCCGTGCCAACTTTTAAAAACTTTATAAAATCTTTATGAGAAATCCCTGTTTGACAGGGTTTTGTAAATTTTTTGACACTTTTTTGAG